AAAACATGTTTTATATGCAATGATAAAATATCATATAGAATGTCTTTTTTGTCAATATTATGTCATATATATTCACTTTCACGCTTTCATTGTTTTTTTTTCATGCACATATTTCATTGTCTTTTTTTTTTGACATCTTAGGACTCTTGGGGCTTGTCTAAGTTGCCGAATTCTCTTAGAAGTCCCGTTGATGACAACTCCCCATTCCTGTACTTATCCCACAGCCGGTGCGTCTGTCCCATGTAGTTTGACATCAAAGCTATGCACGTGCGCTTAGATAAAGATCATTAAAATTTAACGTAAAAAAGACGTAATTATTTTATTAATATTTCGATATCAATCAAATTCAGTATTAATTTTACATATTTTACATAAAAGAACTATTTAAAGACATTTTAAAGACAGAGATCGAAAGTAGGGGACGAGTTGACCATATTAGGGATGAGTTGACCAAAAGTAGGGGACGAGTTGACCAAAAAGGTGTCGAGTTGACCAGGGGACGAGTTGATCAGGGGACGAGTTGACCGGATTGCATTGAAATTAGTATCCACAGGAAAAAAATTCCCAATTGAAAGTTACAAAATAAAAATATTGAATAAAAATTCTAATACCGATTATTTCATCCTATTTCACGTTCAAAGTACATTGAGCTCGCTTTGAGGCTTTGCCTTTTTTATATTAGTGCTTAAATGTTTGAAGATGCTATCATAGACTAATTGTTTGCATCCATTTAATCACTGCAAAATTTCAGTCATGCATTTTTGCCCAATTTTTAACAAAACGCTGCTGAATTTCCCAATTCCATGGGTATGGGTTGTGCAGGCTTCGCGAAAGTTGCCGGACCGTCGGACATGTCCGCAAAAAATCAGGCCGGTCGATATTTTTTTTTTTTTTTTCGCTGTTGGGCGGAGTTTTCCGGACCTTTATGTCCGGTACGAATACCGGGATATATCCAAGACCGATCAAGACCGAGTTTTCTCCCTTGAATAAAAAAAATGTAAAACGAGTTTGTGATTCGCCGTTTACATTATAAGTGTCGATACATACGACTGTCAATAACCAAAATGTCGGGTGTTACTACAGTATTACGCTGGCGCTAAGCCCGGCAAAAATGTAAACTATCAATGAAGACAAAAAAGCGAAACAAAAGGAATACGAGTCCAGGCGCCCGCCGAGAAAATTTGTGGGTAAATGGAAAAATGGCCCCTTTGATCATGAATGTTTTGATTTCCAACAGAGTCCATCCACAGGTGCTTGAAACAAACTTTTTACAGTTTTATATGGGTATATACTATATATTCTTTATATACCATATATAGACTGGTTATGTAAAATATTTGAATATATATGACTAGCACCTGTGAGTCCATCAATCTGGATAAACTAATGTTTTATTTAAGGGAATAAAATTGTGTTGCAAATCTTTAAAAGTTGTTCTGTCCTTAAAAAAAAACACCAAGGTATTACCATATACATATATTTGGGGGAAAACATTCGGTCAGACAAAAGTTCTTTCGGTCAGACAAGAATTGAAAGTTTGTCTGACCGAATGTCAGGCAAATTTTTCATCAGTTTCGCGAAGCCTGGTTGTGTTCCCAAAATCCTGGAAAAAATCCCTGGCTTTACAAGGTTTGAATTTAGCATGTTCACCTGTAGTCCTTTAAATATGACGTCACTTTCACAGGCAGTCGGTGTGTAAAGTAAATATAGTAAAGGTAGAACGGTTCTACCACCAGGCCTTATTTTACCTCTGAGATCTTTTTTAATTGTCAATAAATTTTCACCAAATAAAGTGCAATCTACGCAGAAATCAGGGATCATTCTGGTCAGGATTTTCAGTGAGAGATTTTCTCTCATTTGAGAAATTTTAATGAGAGAAATTAGATTTTCTTGAGAGATTTAATTTTCATGATGGGCGAGGTTAAAAATATGGAAATTTCTAACTTTTTAAAATCACTGTACATAGAAACATTGTTTATCTAATGAGGATATATAGATGTAGCTCTGGTTTATTACAGTGATTTTTGTTTTCACTTTTTTTTGATTCATCCTATGCCTTTTCTTTTGTGAATTTTTAAACATAATAAAATTCTAATTGTGAAAAATAAATATAACACTTTCATTCTGAAATATAAAAGAATTATACATGGATATCTACTACAACTATTATTTGCAGCCAATGTTTCCTAAGGACAACACTGTACTGTACAGAAGTGATTGTTGAGATTTGAAGAATATTTTTTATAACCTTACATTTTGTTTCTTTATGATTCTCTTCACACACCTCCCTCCATTAAAAAATATTCATTGAATATGTGACCTGAACACATAATGACAAATATCTCCATATCCACAAATATAAAACAATACCTAAAAAGTAATTTTTATTTCATAAACATCATTTTTTAGTGTTATAAAACACCTTTAAATAACACTCAGCTTCCTTTTAGTATTTTTTTTAATCACGACATCGCGAAAATATGTGACAAATGAATATTTGTCTGTTTTCCGCTAAAACATTCACAATTCTAGCTGTTGCTGATTGCAATTATATAAAATTAAATATTTTTGTTCAATAAAAGAATATTTATTATCGGCTTTTTCATCAGGAATCATAAAACAAATTTTTTAATTTGTTCTTTACGGCAAAATTTACCGTGGTTGATGTGACATTTAGGAGACAAATTTTAACGGTATTTGTTTTTGACATGTCCATTTTTATGTTAGTCTGTCTAACAATTTTTATTAAAATCAATTAAAAGTGTTTTGTGTAAATTCTCGACTTACAGATAGATAAAGGTTAGCCATCATACCGTATTTCTGTACGGTGAATTTGCGGTCTCCGATCGGCAATTATTTTAGGCTAAATAATTCAAAGTGTTGGACTACTTTTTGGAGTTTTTTTACACCGATTTCATTAATAAACAATTTGAAATTAAATTCTTGATGGGAAATGTAATTTTTTCATCATTTTTTTGTGTGATTTATCATTCTTTACATTGTGATAAGACATTTTCCGGCTCAAATTGCCGTGTGACATTTTCTCTCATTTCACAAATTTCTCTGAGATTTTGGTGATTTTTTTGCGAGAAATCGCGGAAATCGCCCCCTAGAATGATCCCTGAGAAATGATTTCTCTTTCGAAAAATGTACAATATTAGACAAGTTGGTATGACAAAAGATGGAATTTTAAAGCAAAAATGCACTTTTGTCTAGGTTGGACATTGCTTGACCGAGCCGAAAGTAGACAATTTTGAACATAAAATCGATCATTTTCTTAACAAACTAATGTCGGTGCATGCAAACAGTTGAAACAGAAAAGGCAGCTATAATACTATCTCTTACCAGTCCAAATCCTAAACGTCTGTAGGTAGGCATTTTCAGTAATTATTTGCACAAACTTTTAAAATTTCCTGACATTGCATGTATACAAATGCTGACCCGGATGTACCTGCGTAATAAAGATTGAGCAAAGCTGGGTACCAGCGGGAACCAAGCATGTGTACTTTGAATATCCGGATCAGGTTTCAGGGTTTTTTTTTGGCCGATTTTATAGCCGTTATTCGGTCATATTCCCAATTGAAAATAGTATGTTTATTTCCCAATTTTGATACAAAAATTCCCAATCGAAAACTTAAATTTTTTTTTTAAAAATCGATCTTTGGGGAACGTAAAATTGTGTGAATAGCCAGCGTCTAAACAACCCATGTGTTAGTAGACGCTTGATTTCTCAGTATAAGTTTATCGAGCATCTAATGATATTGACAACCTTCAAAAGTGAAAGTAGATCAAAATGTATAACAATTCAAAATATTACGTTATAGAACTTAAAAAAAGCACTGATAAAGACAGAAAAATTGATTTAATGTTTAAGCAAGCGACTCTCTTGGAAAAGAGTTGTACTTCGGAAACGGTAACGGCAAATGAAACTGCAAGTACTAGTGAGAAATTGCCTTCAACGGCGACAGTGAGTTACCACAATGATGTTTCTTCTCGGGGTTTTAAAAGTTCTAGCAACAAGTCTAAGTCAGATACAGTTGTCCTTGTCACTGATCAAAGGTTATTTAGTTCCAACAAATACAAGTTGAAGTATGAATTGTTGTATTATAGTGGTGCAAAAGTTGGGTATTGTTGCAAATTGTGCAAGCTTTTTTCAGCAACAGATGAAAACATCTTCATAAATGGTACAGGTGATACAATAACACAGTTCAAAAATATGAAAACCAGAGACCTACTTTAGTGAACTAAATCCTATTAGACAAGGAATATAATATTATGCCTCAGGAAACTTGAAAATGTTTTGTTGTTTTACCAGTTTTTTGCAAATGCCGCAAAATTCCAATCTCAAGGGTAGGGTCATGTTCCCAAATATGGAAAAAACCCTGGGTTTTAGTTATACATGTAATGTAGGGAAATTCAAAAGTTAGACATGTGAAATATCATTATATGGACTTAGCTGAGTTTAGCTCTGAGCCATCAATATAAATATTGATATTAAAGTTATTTGATTCAATTCAAAGGGAAAATAGAATTTTTGTGAAAAAAAATTGGCTATTTGGCTATAAGGGAATTCGTCGACTGTTGGTGTCAATTTGTCAGGGAAAAAAACCTGCACTAAACGTCATCTGTTTATGTAGTGTGCCCACATCAGTGTTTTTTTTCCAGGTATTGGAACAATGACCCATACCATTGGAATGGGAAATTCAGGCGATGTATTGTTAAAAATTGGAAAAAAAATACTTACTAATAATTTTGGAACTGATTAAAATGGAAGCAAAGAATCAACTGTCCTAGGGTGGCATTATCAATTATTTAAGCACCTTTATTATTTCTTTTTTTTTTTTTCAGATTAATCTGGGACATCTTGAAAATTGCTTGATACTGAACAATAAAAGATTCTTCTTACTCAAGACAATTGAATAAAGAACAGCAAGTAAACCATGGCAAAGCCAGACCTGGAAAGGTGATAAAAGGAAACTCCCTGGATATAAGTTATCCTGGAAGGCTGTTCCCTTAAAAGCCGATTCAACAATTAGTAAGTTTAAAATGGTTTTTAATATTGGCCCCCAGTTTGATGACCAATTTTTTGAGTCATGATCCCAATAAAGATATAATTATGCCCCCCCTTTCCCCCTTTAATTAAGTAAAAAATTCCCAAAATAAAAACCAAAAAACGGGCCACTTCCCCCACGAATTGTGAGTGAAATTTAAAATAACGGAAGCAGGACGGAGGGAAAAATATTGTTTGCACATTGGATTTTGAACCTCCCGGGTTTTGCAAAAAAAGGAGTGATTTTGAAAATATGGGTAGATAACTTTATTGATTTTAAAGAAAAGTAAAGGGTCACATGGGCCTGTTTAAAAAGCTTTCGCTCAAAAATTGAAAATTCCTTGACCCACATTTTTAAATTTTTGGCAGGGAAAGGTTAGCCATGATTATTAAAAATCCATTTGATTTGATCCCCAGTCAAAGGCCCCAAGGGTCACAAGGGCCTTGACTTATTCAAAAAGGGCTTTTTCCGGGCCCAAAAACTTAAGTTTCCTTTGAACCCAACAGTTTTCATATTTGGAAATGGAGGTTATTTCATAAATAGTAGTTTTCCCCCCCAAATTTTAAATTTTGGGGGGTTCCCCAAAGGCCCAAAAGGTAAAAGGCACAGGCCTTAAACTTAAAAAAGTTTGTTCAAACAAAAATTTTTATAGAAAACTACGGGAAATACTGTTAATAATAGATAAAAGACATTAATTGGGGCATTTTGGGTCCCCTGTAAATGGGGGAGCTTTTGTTTGTTTTTTTCCCTTTTTTAAAACCCGACTTTTCCCCTCTTTAAAGCTGGGCCAATTTTCATCCAAATTACGGGAATTTCCCTTTTGGGGTAGTCATTTTTTAAAAAGGGTTCAAAAAATTTTTAATTTCCCATTCCCAAAAACTTTTTGGGTCCCATGGCAACCAAAAAAAAAAATTTTAAAAAATTTTTAAAAAAACCAAAAATAGTTTAGAGCTTAGTATTTAGCACGAAAAAACTTCAGTGGGTGTCTAAAAATTTGCTAAAACAAAACCCCCGGGGTAGTATTGTTTTTCCCTTATAAATAGCGTAAGTAAAAATTTAAAAAATTTTTTTAAAAAAACGAAAAGAGCAGATTTTAAAATTTTAAAGGGATGAAATATTTCTATTTAGTGTCTCCCAATTTTGAAAAAAATAAAACCCGGGGGACAAAATTGGCCCCCCAAAAGGGGGGGGGGGTATTTTTTTTCCCCTTTAAGTGTATAAAAGGAAAAAACTTAAAAAAATTTCTTAGAGTTTAGACCCTTAGATTTTTTATCGGGAAACTTTCCCAATGGTTTTCTTCCCAATTTTTGTTCAAATTTGGGGGTGAGCGTTTTTCGGGCCATAAGGGCCCTTGTTATTTGGATTTTTCAAAAAATGGGAAAGCAATTGACCAGGTGACATTTTGGTTTAATTTTTTGCATGCAAGAAAGTTTTTACAAAACATTGAAGGGAAGGGTTGAAATTTCACATATTTTATTTGAGGCTAAATAGGAAGGTTGCTTTCCTAGGTCCTAATCGAACATCTGAAATTTAACAGAATAATGGCCCTTTTTAAAACTTAAGAAATTTTCTACATTAAATCAACAAGGGCCTTTTTGTTTTTACTAAAAAACAAAAAAACTATTCAAACATGATATTTTAGCCATGCTGCTGCAATTGACAGTCTTGTTTGATTTAAAATACTTTTTTCTTTAGAAAAATTATGAACAGCAATATTAAATGGCCTCCATTGAAGTTTTATTATAAAAACAGGTTCCGTCATTTTTAGTTTTATTTTCCCCCCTGGCATCACCTGGGTGGGCGGCATCCAATTTTTATACCCCCCGCACAACAAAGTTTTCTGTAAGGGGGGATATACTGGAATCAGCTGTCTGTCCAAGCTGTCTGGCTGTTCCGGGCTGTCCGTCAGTTTTTTCTTTGGTCCGCCAATAACTTAAGGGATTCCTTTGACTCTTAGTCTTCATATTTGGCATGGAGGTTAGTCATGATGAGTAGATAACCCTATTGATTTTGAGGTCACCAGGTTAAAAGGTCAAGGTCACAGGGCCTTGACTTCAAAAGCTTGTCCGCCCAATTTCTTAAGATTGCTTTGACCTACAGTTTCATATTTGGCATGGAGGTTAAGTCATGAAGTAGTAGATGAACCCTATTGACTTTGAGTCACCAGGTCAAAGGTCAAGGTCACACGGGCCTTGACTTCAAAAAAGCTTGTCCGCAAAATAACTTTGAGATTCTTTTGACCCACCAGTCTTCTATTTTGGCATGGCAGGTTAGTCATGTTACGTAATGACCCCTATTGACTTTGAGGTCACCAGGTCAAAGGTCAAGGTCACAAGGGCCTTGACTTCATTCAATAAGCTTGTCCGCCCAATAACTTAAGATTCCATTGACCCACAGTCTTCATATTTGGCATGGAGGTTAGTCATGATTAGTAGATGACCCCTATTGACTTTGAGGTCACCAGGTCAAAGGTCAAGGTCACAGGGGCCTTGACTTCAAAAAGCTTGTTCAAACTGGGAATTTTATAGTAACTACTGGAAACTACTGTATATATAATAGATAAAAGACATTACATTGTGCATTTTTAGCTCACCTGTCACATGGTGAGCTTTTGTGATCGCTTTTCTTCCGCCTTTTAAACGACATCTCCTCATAAACCGCTCGGCCAATTTCATCCAAACTTCACAGGAATGTTCCTTTGGTAGTCATCTTTAAAAATTGTTCAAAGAATTTAATTCCATGCAGAACTCTTGGTGCCATGGCAACCAAAAGAAAAAACTTAAAAAATCTTTTTAAAAAACCCCAAATAGCTAGAGCTTAGATATTTAGCACGAAACATCTTCTAGTGGGTGTCTACCAAGTTTGCTCAAACAAAAGCCCCGGGGTAGTCATTGATTTTCCTTATAAATATGCGTATAGTAAAAACTTAAAAATCTTTTAAAAAACGCAAAGAGCTAGAGTTTAAATATTAAGCATGAAATATCTTCTAGTTAGTGTCTACCAAGTTTGTTCAAATAAAAGCCCTGGGGACAAAATTGGCCCCGCCCAAAGTGGGGGAGGGTCATTGTTTTTCCCCATATGTGTATATAAGGAAAAACTTAAATAATCTTCTTAGAGCTAGAGCTTAGATATTTATCAGGAAACATCTTCAAATGGGTGTCTTACCAAGTTTGTTCTATATACAGGTGAGCGTCTTCAGGGCCATAATGGCCCTCTTTTAAGCTTGACTTTTCAAAAAAATAGGAAGAGCAATTGTACACACTGGTGTCACACTTTGGTTAAGTTTTTGCATGCAAGTAAGTATTTACAAAACAATTGAAGGGAATGGGTTGAAATTTCACATATTTATTTGAGAGCTAAATAGGAGGTTGCTTTCCTAGGTTATAAGTCGAACATCTGATTTTAACAGAATAATGGCCCTTTTTAAACTTAAGAAATTCTACATTATCAAGGCTCTTGTTTTACTATCAAACACTGAGAATATTTTAGCATGCTGCTGCATTGACAGCTCTTGTTTGATTTAAAATACTTTTTCTTAGAAAATTATGAACAGCATTAAATGGCCTCCATTGAAGTTTTTATAAAAACAGGTCGTATTATAGTTTCCCCCCTGGCATCACCTGGGTGGGCGGCATCCAATTTTTATACCCCCCGCACAACAAAGTTGTAAGGGGGGTATACTGGAATCAGCTTGTCTGTCCAGCTGTCTGGCTGTCCGGCTGTCCGTCAGTTTTTTCTTGTCCGCCCAATAACTTAAGATTCCTTTGACTCTTAGTCTTCATATTTGGCATGGAGGTTAGTCATGATGAGTAGATAACCCCTATTGATTTTGAGGTCACCAGGTTAAAGGTCAAGGTCACAGGGGCCTTGACTTCAAAAAGCTTGTCCGCCCAATTTCTTAAGATTGCTTTGACCTACAGTCTTCATATTTGGCATGGAGGTTAGTCATGATGAGTAGATGAACCCTATTGACTTTGAGGTCACCAGGTCAAAGGTCAAGGTCACACGGGCCTTGACTTCAAAAAGCTTGTCCGCTCAATAACTTGAGATTCCTTTGACCCACAGTCTTCATATTTGGCATGGAGGTTAGTCATGATTAGTAGATGACCCCTATTGACTTTGAGGTCACCAGGTCAAAGGTCAAGGTCACAAGGGCCTTGACTTCATTCAATAAGCTTGTCCGCCCAATAACTTAAGATTCCATTGACCCACAGTCTTCATATTTGGCATGGAGGTTAGTCATGATTAGTAGATGACCCCTATTGACTTTGAGGTCACCAGGTCAAAGGTCAAGGTCACAGGGGCATTTACTATAAAGAGCTTGTCTGCCCAATAACTTTAGATTCCTTTGACCCACAGTCTTCACATTTGGAATGGAGGTTAGTCTTGATTAGTAGATGACCCCTTTTGATTTTGAGGTCACTGGATCAAAGGTCAAGGTCACAGGGACTTTGACTTCAAAAAGTTTGTCCACCCATTAACTCAAGATTCCTTTGACCCACAGTCTTCATATTTGGCATGTATGTTGATCATGACCATAAGGTGATCTCTATTGATTTTGAGGTCACTGGGTCAGAGGTCAAGGTCACAGGGACCTTGACAAAAAAAAGCTTTTCTTCTCAATTGCTTAAGAATGCCTGTCCGCAGTGTATTGATTTTGACATTTTCACATTTGAAGCATGTAGAATACATAACTTAGCAATGCACTGGCTTAGTAACCTCAGATTTGGCAGGGAGGTTTTCCTTGAGCTCTAAATGGCCACTGTTGATTCTGACAAAGTGGTATGCGGGGGATAGTGGCAGTTCTAGTTGTCTGTAGCATAATTATCTCATACAAAGTTTCATTGAGATATCTTAATGAAACTTGTTACAAATGTTAACCACTATGACAGTCGATGCGAAAGTCAAAAGTTTTTTCCAGCCACAAGGACTTGATTTCCATAGATTTATTTCCGGCCCTGATGATTTTTTCCCAGCCCGGGCTCTGAAGGGTATTTTTTTGTAGGGGTGGGGGGAGGGATATTGCCATCATTATAAACAAAAATATTTAGCAAATATGAATTATCACTCAACTATAAGATACTATGAAAAAAATATACAGAAGCATAATAAATAAAACATTAGCATAATTCACAAGAAAACAATACATCTTTTAAAGGTTTTGTTTTGAAGATTGGAGAAAAAAAATGTTTTGGTAAGGAAGTTATCCAAGACAAGATGGTGGCTTACATTACTTAGCAAAAACTGGTTGTATCTTGCGTGATTTTGGTTTTCTGGGTCTGTGAATACAAGCAAAAATGAAATAAAAAGATCGATCTTGGATGTTTTGCATATTTTAGAAAGCCAAAAATTGTTTCAAACTGGCTGAAATTTTTTTGGGACATGAGGACTGACTGTATGGAAATTAATCTCGGCCCTCCTGATTTTTAGTTGGCGAGGTCCGAGGACAAACAGACTTTTGCAGACTGCTAGGAGAAGCCATGTCGTGCGCATGAACCAGGCCTCTAGGTCAAAGGTCAAAGTCACACTAATATGTCATTGAAAAATGCTTGTCTGGAGCAAAACTTCTACACCCATAGAGGGATTTCAATATAACTGGACACAAATGTTCACTATTGTGAGATGGTGTATTGCGTGCAAAATTAAGGTCCCTGCTGCGAAGGTCAAGGTCACACATAGGGGTCAAAGTTCAGATAAAAATAAGAAAATGTGTAATGGGACCATTTAGTCATCATTTATTGAGGGATTGAAACTCAAATGGTCATTATCATGACTACTGGTGTGAAACATGTAATTAAGGTTAATATATGCAAGGTCAACGTCACTAAAGATGATTGTCAAAGTAACAAATAATGATAAAATATAGAGATTTTGTCCAGAGCATATCTCCTACATATACTGAGGGATTCTAATCAAACTGCATACAAATGTTCACCCCTATGAGAAACTGTGTCATGTGCATAAACCAGGCCTCTAGGTCAAAGGTCAAGGTCAGACTTAGAGGTCATTGAAAAATGCTTGTCCGAAGCAAAACTTCTACATGCATAGAGGGATTTCAATATAACTTGGCACAAATGTTCACAATTGTGAGGCGGAGTGTCGCGTGCAAAATTTCAAGGTCAAGGTCACACATAGGGGTCAAAGTTCAGATAAAGAATCACTAGAGATGATAATATCTCCTATATGCATATCTATGAAATGTTATGTTTTCACATTTTCAGGTAGAACAGTTGGCTAGTATGAAATGTTACATTTTCACATTTTCAGGTAGAACAGTTGGCTTGTATGAAATGATATGTTTTCACATTTTCAGGTAGAACAATTGGCTAGTACAAAATGTTATATTTTCACATTTTCAGGTAAAACAGTTGGCTAGTATGAAATGTTTTGTTTTCACATTTTCAGGTAGAACAGTTGGCTAGTACAAAATGTTATATTTTCACATTTTCAGGTAGAACAGTTGGCCAGTATGAAATGTTATATTTTCACATTTTCAGGTAGAACAGTTGGCTAGTATAAAATGTTATATTTTCACATTTTCAGGTAGAACAGTTGGCTAGTATGAAATGTTATATTTTCACATTTTCCTGCAGAACAGTTGGTCAGTATGAAATGTTATATTTTCACATTTTCAGGTAGAACAGTTGGCTTGCTATTTTCACATTTTCAGGTAGAACAGTTGGCCAGTATGAAATGTCATATTTTTACATTTTTCAGGTAGAACAGTTGGCCAGTATGAAATGTTATATTTTCACATTTTCAGGTAGAACAGTTGGCTTGTATGAAATGTTATGTTTTCACATTTTCAGGTAGAACAATTGGCTAGTACAAAATGTTATATTTTCACATTTTCAGGTAGAACAGTTGGCCAGTATGAAATGTTATATTTTCACATTTTTAGGTAGAACAGTTGGCTAGTATAAAATGTTATATTTTCACATTTTCAGGTAAAACAGTTGGCTTGTATGAAATGTTATATTTTCACATTTTCAGATAGAACAGTTGGCTAGTATGAAATGATATATTTTCACATTTTCAGGTTGAACAGTTGGCTAGTATGAAATGATATATTTTCACATTTTCAGGTAGAACAGTTGGCCAGTATGAAATGTTATATTTTCACATTTTCAGGTAGAACAATTGGCTAGTTCAAAATGTTGTATTTTCACATTTTCAGGTAGAACAGTTGGCTAGTATGAAATGTTATATTTTCACATTTTTCAGGTAGAACAGTTGGCTAGTATGAAATGTTATATTTTCACATTTTCAGGTAAAACAATTGGCTAGTTCAAAATGTTGTATTTTCACATTTTCAGGTAGAACAGTTGGCTAGTATGAAATGTTATATTTTTACATTTTCAGGTAGAACAATTGGCTAGTTCAAAATGTTGTATTTTCACATTTTCAGGTAGAACAGTTGGCTAGTATGAAATGTTATATTTTCACATTTTCAGGTAGAACAGTTGGCTAGTATGAAATGTTATATTTTCACATTTTTCAGGTAGAACAGTTGGCTAGTATGAAATGTTATATTTTCATATTTTCAGGTAGAACAGTTGGCTAGTACGACTGAGGAAGAATCAGTTATCCTAACAGCAAGTGTAGCAGATGGAACACTGTGTCACCTCGGTTCAGACTCGGGTAAAGTTTTCCTGGAGGATCACGAGGATATCAAATCTCAGTTCCTTGGCTTCTGTCTGAAAAGTAAGTGGAATATATGATATTCTATAGTTGCAAATTTTGTTGTATAATACATGGCAAATTTTGTTGTTAAATTTATATAATATGAACAATCAGTCAGTTCACTTTTTTCTGCATTATGTAACTTTTCATGCTGTAACACAGGCCTGGGCTCTAGCAACTGGGCAATTTGACTGTCGCTTAAATTTTCTGACTGATCATCGGAACAAAATCTTTCAATTTTCCCAAATATGTACTAACACCAGCTTTTTTACTTCCCATATAAGCAATTTTAGCGATAATTTCTTCACAATAACAGGGCATCTTCACAATTAAGTGAGAAAAAAGTCACCACTGTATGCACAATTGTACTAGAATTACAACAAAGCAACTTGTATAACACCTGCATATAATGGAAATATTGTATCTAAGTAATTGTATTGTAAGTATTGTATTAGTATTGTAAGATCCCTATTGATTTTGGGGTCACAAGGTCAAAGGTCAAGGTCACTATTACCCTAAAACTGAAAATGGTTTCCGGAGCATAACTTAAGTTCCATTTGGCCCACAGTATTCAAACTCCATAGGATGATTGTCCATATTGGGTAGAAAACCCCTATTGATTTTGGGGTCACAAGGTCAAAGGTCAAGGTCAGTATTACCTTAAAACTGAAAACAGTTTCCCCGCTCAATAACTTAAGTCTTAATCAACCTACAGCTGTAAAATTTTATAAGATGAACAGCCATGTCCAATACATGACCCCTATTGATTTTACACTGAAAATTGTGGTTTCTGGAGCATAACTACAACTTGATGGTAGTGCTTTGAAAACAGCAACTGTATATATATGAAGGTTCTTCAGCTAAAAAGGAGGATTGCTTTTTGAATGAGGTAATACTGTATTTAATTCCCATGTCTTACAAATGTTTCATCCTTACTAACAAAAAAACAACAACAACACTATCGGGCATATAATACTCTGCCTCTTGTTATAATTTTCAAAACAACCTGTGTTAAATCAGGAAAGGAATCAAATTCCAACAACTGAGAATGGAATTTACCAACACAGTTTATAAAATTTTCAGTTTCAATTCAATTTAACATTATACATGGTACGTAGCAGAAATTTATCAACAACTTCAGCTGCTGTTAAGTCATGGTTCGCACAAGACATTTCAGGTGAAAATATAGCATTTTTAGTGGAAAATATACCTATTTTGGGCTAGAGGAATCAGCATTTATTCAGCTATTAAATATAGGGAAAAAAATCATTTGCTGTGTTTACAGTGTTCTAAAGGACCAGGTTCTTGTCCTGAACAGGCAGGTTATATATCTTAATCTCAACTTCTGAAAATTGCAGTTGAAAGTTTTTGTATCATATATATGTATTTTCTATCTGCAGTGTTAGCGATTTTCCCTAACTTTACTGAGTACCTGGGACTCAGTGCTAATAGATCTGTTACGTCCCAATTCAAATGGAACGAGTCCTCAATTACAAAAATGTCAATGTTTGCATAACTTCATAATACAATCAAATTTGTGACTGTTGATGTTCGCGGATACCATTGATAGGTTGGCCCAAAACGAGGCCGAGCACTTGCTCCTAGTCTACGTTTGGGATATAAATCTGCATTGCTAATGAGAAAGGAACAAATGAAAATGAGGTGAAAGTCAAGTTCTTATAATACAATTTATTTAAAGTGAATAGAAAATCATTTTCAAGCAGAGCAAAAAAACTTAAGAGAGAATTGACCAATTATCGGGGAAAAAGTGTTTCGTCCCAGGGACTCAACAGCCCTTTTTTTCTTTCCTCCCTGGCAATTTTAGCGAGTAAATTGATATGTTTACTCATTAAAGGCGAACACTGCTATCTTCATAACCAGAAATGTCAAATCTTATTAATGCCATTTGTAAATCGCTGAATTTTTATTTATATCTTTTTTGTGTGTTTTTTAGGACATCATAAATTGAAGCAAGAGAAGGAAAGAAAAGAAGCGCAAGAGAGAGAAGAAGCTCTTGCTAGAAGTATGCAGGCAGTTACCCCACCTAGATATGACGGTATGGGTGGAGGTTATATGCAACATCGCTCACCTAGGTATCATTCTCCCCAGCAAAGTCCTCATCCTGTAGCACTGAGCCGAGTGGCACCAGGAAGTAGAATGCGGTCACCCGGCAACAGGCATCAGCCTTATCCAATGGCCCGTCCTGCACGACCAACATTAAGTTTTGATCAGCAAGGTCGTTCACCTGGGCAGGGGCCTGGTCCTATGGTAACTCCAGTACGTAACACTAAACTTGATGGACAAGTCATTAAAATAGAACCAGAAGATGAAGATGAAAAGTCCAATCAAAGTGCAAATGAAAATACAAATGTTCAAAGTGATGTAAAAACTAACATATCTGAATCTAGTCAACCATCCTCTCCATCTATCAAACCATCCACACCCTCTCAAACACAAGGACCTTCAGCATCAGATAATGAAGATGCTCGGTCAGAATCATCGTCATCAACCATTCCAAATGAAGCATCAGATCTCAAATTTAGTGACACTAACCCAGCTGCGGGTCTTAGTTTAGATTCAGATCTCTCCAACATATTACCAACAGATAGTTCTGTGAATGAACCTTCTACTTCACAAGGAAATGAACAAGGAACAATGGAAGGATTAGACCCAAATATTAGTGTAAAACTTGAAGCGTTTGGTGATTCAGAAATGGATTTAGAAATTACGGGTGTGGAGTTAGGTCAAAATACTTTAACACAAGAGCAAATGAGCTCACAAGAATGGATGGCAAATGTTCAAAATGTAATGCAAGGTGCATCAGGCAGTTCTGCAGATATGGCAGGTCAACAAGGCTACAGTAAGTGTCTTATTTCCTTTTACTTTCTTTTTTACCATCTTCCAAATAATCAAATCTCACATTGTTGGAGGAACTCGTGTAGCATTTTTTATCCTTCACACAGGTCCAGTAAACCGGACCTGTTTCCAATTCGTACATGGCCCTGTTTCGGGCTACTTAAAATTGGTTTGGGTTATATGATATTTTGATGGACAAAGCCCAAATGTCTATGACCATAAAAAGTTTTTTGTGTTGACTGATAGACAATAAGATCCGAGTACTACCACAGAAACAGCTTGAATATTATGATTTTCTTAGTCAATTGTAACTCAAATTTGAAATAAATCATTTAAGTTTGTGTCGTATAGTATCATAAAACACATTTTAAAGTGTTTAAAACAAATTCCCCATGATTATATCATATATGCCATTTCCAATTTGAGCCAAATCAAGACATTTTCCAGCATTTGTTTTGTAGTTGCACCTTTCCCAAAGTATTGGGGGGGGGGGGGGGGCGGAAGTCTTGCTCGAAATACTCAAGCATTCAAGTACAAAAACTACAAGAAATAATTTTTAGCTCAACTGTCACAAAGTGACATGGTGAGCTTTTGTGATCGCTGTTTGTCCGGTGTCCGGCGTTCTGTCGTCCGTAAACTTTTACTTTAAACGACATCTCCATATAAACCGGTGAGACAATTTCATCCAAACTTCACAGGAATGTTCCTTTGGTGGTCATCTTCAAAAATTGTTTAAAGAATAATTCTATGCAGAACTCTTGTTGCCATGGCAACCAAAAGAAAAAACTTAAAAAATCTTCTTTTGAAAAACTCCAAAGAGCTAGAGCTTAGATATTTGGCATGAAACATCTTCTAGTGAGTCTCTACCATGTTTGTCCCTAGGGTCCTAGGGTTAAAAATTGGCCCAGCCCCAGGGTCTTTGATTTTCCTTATATGTACTGTAAATCCTTTATTTTTCCTGATGTTTTGATTTTCGCTATTTCTTCTGGGGTGAAAGGGGCTCCACTTAAACCTTTTGACCTTTTTCTCAGGTGAGCGATCCAGGGCCCTCTGGGCACACTTGTTCTGTTTCCCTTTAGAAAATTCTTTAAAATTACGCAATTGTCCTCAAAAGTTCTATTTACATCAAGTTTTTGATTACCGAAAATATCGTGTTTCATTCTCTCAAATTTAAAGATGTAAAGGAAGGGCTGAAAAATCTTATCCTCAACCTGGTTCAAAATGCTTGGCACTATTTTAGTAAAAAATTACTTTGCAAGACGAGGAACAATTTTTTTTTTGTATTAAAGCACATAATAATTAATTGTTCATAGTTGTGAGATGTGATGTTTGGAGGATGGTTTATAGACAGAACACAATATTTTATATTTTACTATAGATATAGTGACCCTGATACGGTTTTCTTCCTCTCTGTTAAAGGTGTCTTATACAATTTAATGACTATGTTATATTTTTATATACCAGTTGAAACAGCATGGCTGGGAATCTTAATTAATTAATATTTATTTTCGGACTGTAAATAGAGTTTTAATACTCTACTTTAGGCTGGATTAATTTAAGTAGAAAATCATTTGTTTTGGATCAAAGATACTAAATCTGAATTACTTACATGCATAATATATACATATATTCTTTAATAATATATTTGGTGATGCTTTATGGGCAATAATTGGTTAAATCTAAAACAGGTGACGGGTTAGGAGTTTTAGATTTTTCTTTTAATTATAATGAAATTACTTCAAAATTATGTATCATAAGTTACAATTGATATTAGGGGATAACTGATAAGACTGAAATGAGATAGGTCCTGCCTTGTTACACTGGTGAGCTGAATGTTGTTAACTTGAAATGAAGAAGTTATAGGTATAAGAGACACGTAGACAGTTGATGTATATTTTCTCAAAGAAGTGTATGACCTCCTGTATTTGAGACTTGTTTGGAATGGATAAAACTTCCATATTGTAGTGTACAGCAGTGTACTGGCTTTACTATAGACATAACACAGAAGATGAACAAGTAGTCAGGTAAGTGATAGAATAGGATAAGTGATATAAGTTATAGAATTAAATATTTCTATGTTTTAGAACTGTTGTCATGGTAATGAATCTTGTAGACATCTATATACTGATTAAATAAATTATTCATTGCTTTAACTAGAGAGGAAGAAAATGATATTAGTGCTACTATTTTGATAAAATGATTCATACATGATACATATACAACACATACATATAACACATACATAACACATACATAACACATACATAACTCATACATAATACATACATAACACATACATAACACATACATAACTTATACATGATACATGCACAATACATATATGATAATACATGATACTACAGAGACTTACAAGATGCAGGATTCCACATGATATACACCTAAAATGCCTTTAATTTTTAGCTCACCTGTCACAAAGTGACAGGGTGAGCTTTTGTGATCGCTTTTCGTCCGGCGTCTGTCCGTCGTCCGTCCGTCCGTAAACTTTAGCTTTAAATGACATCTCCTCATAAACCACTGAGCCAATTTCATCCAAACTTCACAGGAATGTTCCTTTGGTGGTCACCTTTAAAAATTGTTCAAAGAATTTAATTCCATGCAGACCTCTGGTTGCCATGGCAACCAAAAGAAAAAACTTTAAATATCTTCTTTTAAAAAACCATAAGAGCTAGAGCTTAGATATTTGGCATGAAACATCTTCTAGTGAATGTCTACCAAGTTTGTTCAAATAAAAGCCCTGGGGTCAAAATTGGCCCCGCCCCTGGGGGTCATTGATTTTCCCTATATGCATATAGTAAAAACTTAAAAAAATCTTCTTTAAAGAAACCGTAAGAGCTAGAGCTTAGATATTTGGCATGAAACATCTTCTGTGAGTGTCTACCAAGTTTGTTCAAATTTAAAGCCCTGGGGTCAAAATTGGCCCCGCCACGGGGGTCATTGATTTTCCCTATATGCATATAGTAAAAACTTAAAAAAATCTTCTTTTTTAAGAACCATAAGAACTAGAGCTTAGATATTTGGCATGAAACATCTTCTAGTGAATGTCTACCAAGTTTGTTCAAATAAAAGCCCTGGGGTCAAAATTGACCCTGCCCCAGGGGGTCATAGATTTTCCCTATATGCATATAGTAAAAACTTAAAAAATCTTCTTTTAAAGAACCCAAAGAGCTAGAGCTAAGATATTTAGCATGAAACATTTTCTAATGAGTGTCTACCAAGTTTGTTCAAATAAAAGCCCTGGGGTCAAAATTGGCCCCGCCCCCAGGGGGTCATTGATTTTCCCTATATGCATATAGTAAAAACTTAAAAAATCTTCTTTTAAAGAACTCAAAGAGCTAGAGCTAAGATATTTAGCTGAAACATGTTCTAATGGGTGTCTACCGAGTATGTTAAAAATGCCAATGAGCTAGTACTTACATGTTTAGCATGAAACATCTTCTTATGGGTGTCTACCAAGTCTGTTCAAATAAACAAATAAAAGCCCTTGGGTAAAAATTGGCCCGGGGGTGGGGGGCCTATATACAGGTGAGTGACCTCAGGGCCATCATGGCCCTCTTGTTTAGCTCGACTATTCGATAAGAATAAGTAGAGCTATTGCAGTCACCCGAGCGTTGGCGTCGGGGTCGGCGTAACCACTTATGTTAAAGTTTTTGTAATAGTTCAAATATTTTCAAAGTCCATTGACATATGGCTTTGAAACTTTGCACACTTGTCCACCATCATGACCCCAACCTGTAGACAGGAGGAGGTAACTCTATCAAGCATTTTGACAGAATTATGCCCCTTTTTCGACTTAGAATTTACGTTAAAGTTTTTGTAATAGTTCAAATATTTTCAAAGTCCATTGACATATGGCTTTGAAACTTTGCACTCTTGTTCACCATCATGACCCCAACCTGTAGACAGGAGGAGGTAACTCTATCAAGCATTTTGACAGAATTATGCCCCTTTTTCGACTTAGAATTTACGTTAAAGTTTTTGTAATAGTTCAAATATTTTCAAAGTCCATTGACATATGGCTTTGAAACTTTGCACACTTGTTCACCATCATGACCCCAACCTGTAGACAGGAGGAGGTAACTGTATCAAGCATTTTTTTTACTATCAAGCACTAAGAATAGTCGAGCGTTGCTGTCCTACCGACAGCTCTTGTTGTGATACACAATTCCTTATATCTTGCATTCGTCTGGATGCATGAAAATATAATACTGGCTTTATAATATATTGCTTAACATAATTTAAAAAAAAACCTTGCAGTATATTAGTGCTTGCTACATCAGTAGTAACTTTTTAGTAAGAATATGGTCTGCTGGATTTAGATGTTGGACCACTATTATTAAGACCTAGACATCTATTGGACCCCTGGAAATTGAAAGTGATGAAAATCTCTACATGGTACATATGTAATGCATACATGCTACATGTATACATAATACACACTATGTATACATGCATGATACATACACAATAATACACGCTAGATTCACATACTCGATTATGACAATATACATGATCCATACGAGATACATATACAAAATCTTGCTATTTAATACCCTACAAGACATGGGTTACCTTACTAAATTTAATCTTTTTACCGGCTGAATTTATGTTCTAATTTTAGACTGTTGAATATGGAACAGTTAAAAGTTAAAGGGATTTCTATTATAAAAATACAAAAATTGTCAGTCTGCCTGGATATATGCAGACTGTCCTAGCTTTATATTGAAGGCAAATGCTAATAACTTGGAGTTTCTACAGGTAAAGGGTTAAGAGAAATCAAAAATATTGTTAGGTCTTAATTTATAGCAGGTTATGAAGATATATTGTGTTCTGTCTAGAGATATTTATAGTATACTGTTACACGTTAAAACATGCATACTGAGAAACTTTTACCCTGTAAGAATAGACCTGCAGATGTTTGTAAAAAAACAATAGTTATGCTTTTTTCTCTCAACAAAATCACAATTTCTATATCTGCTTTCATTG